AATCCTTGATCTGCTTCAGTGGAACTCGCTGTTACATACGCAAGGCAGGTACTTTTCCGAGGGGACATGAATGACATACAATGGTTCGTCATCCCCACCTATTTCAGGAAACACTTCGCGAGGTCCTCGGTCTGCAGGTAACAGCTGCTGAGAGATATCTTCCTCAGCTACAAATTCATTAGACTTTGATGGCCTGAAGTACTTGTTAGCCCGTTCTATCTGCAATAACTCAGCTCAAACCTGCATCAGTCGTGGGCTGAAGGTCGTCACTTTTGGTCAAAGCCCTGAAACGGGGGTCAAAGTCACGCCCCTAGTCATGGAAATGCCTGAACGAAAGCCTGATGCTGTGGGATACCACAAACAAGGTCGAAACTGGCCTTCAAAGGCCCTACGAGAGGCTGTTGACCCTGGGAAAGTCAACAATCAACCCCAGCTCGGGAATTCAGGCCTAGAAGTCCAAGTCAACCCGTTTGCCAGCCTCGGCCGTAGATCGGATACACATCTTTGGTTGTCTGCAGGTATCCAGAAGAATCTGGTCCAAGCGAGACACATGGGAAATCTGCAACTGTATGCAATCCAGGCCATTGGCTGAGGACCGATCTGGGCCGTTGTACCCAGAAGACTGGTCAACGCGAGTCAACATTGTAAGCCGACCCAGCCCCTGCTGAAGATCATTTAATCTTGTGCGTTCTACTTGACGTTGGACCGATGCTAGTGCGACAACGCGAGACTGCGGGAGCGTTATGCTGGTGCCATACTCTGTGCACGGCGTCAGCCTTGTGGGCGATTATGCTGACGTGGCCATAGCCACACTGATTCCAACATTGGTGGTGTGGGGGTGAGGAGGAGGAGGAGGATCGGGACTGTTAGATTGGTCTGATTGATGAGGGGAACCTTACCAGTGTGAACCTGTGTTGACACATGTACTTTTTGCTGATCGTCTCCAAGAGGAAGATTTGCACCATCCTCCAAGGCTGCTGCTGACGTGGTAGGAGGATGGGCGCCCTGTTGTGACCTGCTTGTTATTTGAGATCGTCATAGAGGAAGCGATTGTTGATGTGGCGAGTTGGGAGTAGGGGGCCGAAGAGGAAGAGGGCTGATGAGGGTTTTCTGCTTCGTTGTTGGTGGTGGGAACTCTCTCTCTCTCTCCTCCTCTAAGTCTATCCTCCCTATCTCCTCATTCTTCTCTCTAAGTTCGAGATATCTAAGTTCGAGATATCTTGATAGATATCTCTAATTTAGAGAGAAGAATGAGGAGATAGGGAGGATAAGACTTAGAGGAGGAGAGAGAGAGAGAGTTCCCACCAACAACAATGAAGCAGAAAACCCTCATCAGCCCTCTTCCTCTTCGGGCCCCTACTCCCAACTCGCCACGTCAACAATTGCTTCCTCTATGACGATCTCAAATAACAAGCAGGTCACAACAGGAGTATCGTTTCATGAACGATTTTTGGATACGTTGAATATGTGCTATGACAGACTTGGATTTCGACATTCACGAGCTTGTCATATGATTGGGTTCATTACAATTTGGTATCGGAACGATATCTTCCTTACCTCGTCATCTGCTGATTGCGATGCGGCGCGCGTGTTTGCCTTGGTATCGCGTGTGGGCGTTGGTGTCGTGCGCTTATCTAGATATGCGCGGTCAAGATCTCTTGATGATGATGATGATGATGATGATGATGATGACGATTATGATGATGATGATGATGATGATGATGATGATGACGTAGACCTGGTGCATTGCCGTGCATTGCCGTGGAGAAGAAGAGCGGCACTGTCTCCATTTGTCGCTGCTCGAAGACTCATCGGTAGGCTGTTGATCGTTGGCTAGAAGAGTGTTGATGTGGACATTCACCGCCGGAGGTACTTCTTGTGCTCACCTGTCGTGGGTTAACACTTGTTTATTGATGTGTTGCTGATTGATTGATTGTGCTCACCTGTTGTGGGGTGTCTTGTGGGTGGTTGCAGACGCACCATTGTTGTGTTTGACGTGATCTCACTGGTCGTGGCTATGAAACCTGCACAGACCATTGGCCTCGCTGCAATGGCAGATAGAACACCGCTGTCTTCCAACAAATAATTGGTTGATAGCTAGAACGTCCCTGGAGCAAAGAGGGCAAGCTCTCCCATGGTGCAGGTTGTGCACAAATGCGTTCCCTTCCCGGAAACGGCCTGAAACAATTGAACATATATTCCTTCAATGTCCGAGAGCACTCTGGCTGTGGAGATGATGGGACAGAGTGTGGGGACAACTAGGAACAAACGCCCAGTGGCCCTGGGATTGGAAAGCCTTATTGTGCGAAGTCTGGCCGAAGACCCTAATAGACCAGACTGACGAATTCACTGGAAATATGTTTCGAATGGGATGCAGGGCGATACTCTGGGCACTTTGGAGACGATGCCGCACCTTTGAGTCATAGAAATAGTGAAATTCCGATTCAATAATCAATTCTTTATTTCTTTGCTACTTGTCGTGGAATTGAATTTGTTGGTAGTGAGGCCGTGGAATTTGCAATCGTCGTTTCAAGTTTATTGTGCGGCGGTCTCAGTTGAGAGATGGCTTACCTTTGGAACTGCTTTCATGCGTCCATCTTGACAAGGTTCATTCCCTTGTTCTTCTTTCCCTATCTCCGTCACTTTCTTTGCTGATCAAGAGCAAGAAGTGTTACGAACCCGTGGACAAGTTGAAGACAAACGGAAGCAGATGCCGTGCCATCTTCGCCAGCTGCTCGCAGAATTGCACGACGCTGGTTCAGAAGCTGAGCATCATGTACAGCCAGTTCGATCTGCATGCTGGAGAGGACGAACCGTCTCAGGCTGAAACTTCTGTTCAGATGCTGGAGACCAGCGGCCGAGTGCAACGATTATTGATCAAGGACGGATGAGCCTCGATCATCCTATCGGCGAGCAGTTCGCAAAGATTGCTAGTCAAGAGGTTGAGGAGAAGAAGGGGGAACCGAGTGAAAAAAGGGAAGAAACTGAACTGAATGAAGAAATTATGGATGACACAAGCAAGCAATTGCAAGCTGTATTACAAGCAGAAGTGAAGAAAAAGGAAGCCTATCAGAGGCAGCGAAAGGAGGAGCAGCAGGGAAGAAAAGTGGAAGAAATAGAACAAGGACTTAATATTGTTGATTCAGAAATTGATGTGGCATCTGTATTGCAAACTATGATGGCTTATCTTGCACACTTGGAAATCAAACTAGACCGCGGCACCGCAGAACTTCAGACGGTGACCAGACTATTGAAAGGAAATAACAAAGTGGTGCAAAAAGAGTTTGAAGAAGAGCGAAAGGAAGAAAAGAAAGAACCTCAAGAAAAATTGATGAAGGACGGCATTAACTCCTGTGATCCCAAGGAACCTGAACCCTCCAAGAAAGAAGAAGGTGCAGAGAAGCCAAAAAGGAAAGAGAAGGTGAAAATGAAGTTGCCATTTCCTTGTAACGGGAAAAGGGAGAAAATCTGTTGCCATCGATAGCTAAAATCCAGTCCAGTGGCTGAAGATAGTCAAGTAGCCTTCTCCGCTTCCTGTTTGGGAGAAGTAGCCAAGGAATGGGTTCTGTCCAAGTCCAACGCTGCTGGCTTCGAGGACATTGGTGAGTGGGTGAAAACGATGACATTCTGCAAATTTCTCCAGGAAATTAAGGAGAGATTCTTGGATAAGACAATGGCCGACAAGGCTTTCGATGAGCTCACCGCCATTGGACAGAAGAATTGGTCAAGTGTCGAGACCCTATTGCATGAAGTCGATCGTCTTCTGCAGGGACCTGGACTGAACCTCAGCCTCTTCTATTCTGGGGGGCATCAGTCCGATTGCTTATCACCGGCAAGCATGAGTTCCAAAGTCCAAATTATTTGTAGGAAAAGAGGAAAGCCTTACCCTTGTGGCCCTAGACGCCTAACAAGGGAGGGATTGCTACAACCGATCCCTCTTCCCATACCATAACCTGCCCAGGGATACTTCTGTTGGTCGGGAGGCTTCCTAGCAGCACCCAAGATGGGTCCCCAAGGAAGGCCTGGCCCGGGGGGCCCGGGAGGCTTCCTAGCAGCACCCAAGATGGGTCCCCAAGGAAGGCCTGGCCCGGGGGGCCCGTTCTAGCAGTCTCGCGGGACCCACGTCCTGTTAGTCACACCATCTTTTCTGTACCTACTGACACTCTTTTAGACTTAGATCCTTCACACTTGTCATTTTGATAATGAGACTGTAGGAAAGTGGCCCCTCGAAGAGGTCGAGGGAGAAACAAGTGGTGGCGGTGAGTCAGGAAAGGGTGACGTCACCGCCATGGTGGCCAACAAGGGAGGCACCAACAGAAACGGAGGATTCAAGAGGAAGAGGTCACCTTCCCCCTCTTCTCATGCCAGTTCTTCCCCCTCTCACCTTGCCCAAGGTCCTGCCAGCTTCACCGTTCCTCCGACTACTGCTTCTTTGCCCCCCCTCCACCTGCCTAATAGAACTCGCATAACCACACGTGGCCACCTGAAAAAGCAAAGAAGAAAAGTTGTTCAGGCGACAAAAAAAAAAAAGGTTACACGAAAACGATAGAGAGGGTCTTACTCCCACCACAGTGCACTGCCAAACCATCGCCCCTGCAGTCTGCTGCTTCCAGCGAGCTTCCCACTATACACTTTCGCCGGTTATTGTTTTTCTAACTACTGTAATGTGTGGCGTGTGTGTGTGTGTGTGTGGACAGCTACCCACGGTGTCCACTATCAAAGAAGTACTGTAATTGCCTAGCAAACACAGGCCATCCCACACAGTGTTCCAGATATACTAATCATCAGAAGGATCATTATGGATTTTAAGATGCCAATAACCAAGTGCCAGCAGAGAACCTTGAATGCTGACCAAGACCAATGATACCACAACTCGTTGCTCTCCTCTTTTTTTATTGGAAAAAGATTTTTCTGTGGCGCACACCTGATGATGCTGAAGATTCAGCGCAGTTCTGTGTGGAGGAGAGGTGTCTGAGTTCGCTTGCACTTTGCAATTGCAGAAACTTGCAGAAGAGGAGTTGGCTGTACTTGAAAAAGTGGTCAAGGAAGGGGCAAGCTTGGTGGGTGAGCTGGACCTCGACATTGTGAGGAGGCTGTACAGAAGAGGACTAGTTTACTATGATGTTCCTGTTTATAGCGCGGACCGGTTTCAAGGTATGGTGTTGGATCTTGCTGGTTTACTATGGTGTTGGGTCTCCAGCCTACACAAAACAGTAAGGAACATAATTATCAAGTTATATCACCTATAGATTCTATACATCCAGACAGCTGTTCTTGCTGGGTTATGTATGCTAGTTTATGGATAATGAAGTCAGTGTTTAAAACGAGTATCAAGGAAGAGCTCGGATCCAATTTTTTTGGATTTTCATTTCTACTGTTTTTTTTTCTTTAAAAAACAAAAAACAAAAAAAATTGCCCCTTCTGTCGTGGGGAGCTCAGTTCGGTTGCTCATCACCCGCAAGCATGTTTTTACATCTGAAAAGAGAAAGGGGAGAGAACAGACAAGACAGAGGACAAGCCTGTCCCTTGTGGCCCTACACGCCTGGCAAGGGGGGACTGTTTTGGAGCAACCCTCCCCCTATCCTTAGCCCTTCAGGGGGGTTGCCCTACTGGCCGGGAAGCTTACTGGCAGCAGCCAGTCACGCAGTAGGGCAGCCCTCAGATAGGCAGGGTGCGGGGGGTTGCTCCTAGCAGCTCCTCAGGCCGCTTAACATCCTGTTACCTGTTTCTAATATCCCTTGCCGCACATAGACCCTACATTACCTATGTCTGAAGCCCATATCTGGTCCAGCCTCTATTCCGCTGTAGTTACATGTCCACCTCTACTTAACTGTTCTCATTCAGAACGTGTTCTGCTTACACCTTACGTCTATACAAACAACAATAGGCCCTCTTAGACCCCTACCATGGCACATATACTTCCAGATCGTGTTCCGCTTATCCCTACCATTTACACAAGCCATAATAGGCCACAGTCCACCCACTTGTTTTAGTAATGTTTCATGTTTTCTATCTTTTTATGGTTTCTTTTAGTATCTCCCATCCAACCCTCGGTTCCCCCCCCACCCCATGCCCCCATACTTCTTCAATTCCCCTTACTACCCTCTCCCCCTAGCCCCGTAGTGCCCCCTACACCTTCCCCTGCCTCCCCCTCCCTCCTAATGTCACCCTATCCTCTATACTAATTGTGGTGTCCAATGTGTTTCATCACACCTCCTACTCATCTAACTATTGTACAAATCCGTTAACTGCCTTTCCTATCCTTCCCCAGGCTCGTCCTCCTCCTCGAGCCGGGGCATGTGCCGCAACTGGGCAGGGCGGAACTGCATATAGCCTGTACATGGATCTCAAATAATCAGTTGTGGGTATGGGCCCCATCTTGCCCAGAAGCCTTCCACCTTCTGCGATCCTAAATGGTTGTATCTATATGCACGTCCGCCTGAAGGCAGTTCTGATACATTCCAAAGCCATTTCCTTATATGCCTGCAGAGGGGTAGCTGTTCCCTGTCAACATCTCTCGTTCCGCAGGGTCCATAATGCCCACAGCACAGCCGCTCGCAGAGTCTCTCCCACCATCATAGTTTCCTGGTTTGCCCTGTCCACTTTTACGAGCGTCCTCAAGAGAATAGTTACATCGTCTGTTTCTGTGACCTCTAGCTGGGACTTATCAGCTAGGTCCTGTGCCCACCATTCCCAAAAGGCTCGGACAGTTGGGCATCACACAAACAGGTGGGGCATAGTTTCCATTTGTCCACATCCTGCGGCGCAACTCTGGTCCTTATATCAACTTTTAGTTGCTATCCATTGCGCTGTGGGGATTGCCAAGTGATAAATTTGACAAAGCACCCCCACCTGCTTCTGGTCTGGTAATGAGGCTAGGATAGCACATTGTTGGTTCGATCTCCGTTGACTACACCTGCTGCCATAAATGTCCGGTATCCAATCTCTCTTGACCCACCGTTTCCTCAGTTCTTCACAGATGTCTATTGGCTCCAACAAGGAGTTGTAGATATTTTTAGTGGTGAGCTCCTGGATCGGCACTGCTCTCCGTAGCATCTTCTGTGCCGTGCACTTCCACTCCCTTGGATCCCACGTCAGATCCTGGCATCTGGATGCTATCTGGAACAATAGGTATTGCTTCTCACCCTTCCTTCCCCCTTCACACACCGATATTGTTTCGATCTCGTCCGTTAAGATCTGCAGTTCCCTTTGCACATCCCCTGGCTCAGCCTCTTGCAGGGGTTCCCCTAACCCTTCGTATCCGTGTTCCCCCTCCAGCAAGTGACCCATAGCATTCTCCCGTCCAGCACCCGCTCCACCCGGTATATGCTGGCTGGGCTCGGGTCCCCCTTCATCTTCACCCATTCTCCCGGGGTGATTCCATCCTTTCTCAATATTTCGATCCAATGGGGGGGGATAGCCTCCCTGAGTTCCTTGAGCCTTTGCCGATGCTTCATCCGGCCCTGCAGGGATTCCAGCAACTCTTCATCCCTCCGCCAGTCCCTGCAGGCTTCGTCCCATAAGTGTCCCACTTTATAGATCCCTTGCACAGCCCATTTCCAACCGTAGGCCCTGCAGGGATCCCCAGCAGCGTCGCATATGGCATCTGACATTGCATCTGCACCTTTCTCCACAGAGCCAGTTTTGTTGACCATACAGTGCCCCGCTAAAGCTATCTTCATCAACAACTCTGTGCTCACCACGCTCTGGTACGCAGGGGCAGTGCATATGCCGGGAAAACACACCTTCTGGTATTTCAGTAAGTCAAACAACGCTAAAGCAAAAGACTGTATGTGCAGGGTGGCCTGGTACAAGCTCATTCAACCAAGGCGATTTGGGGGGTTGGGCCTCCTGGACCCGCGTTGTCAGATCATTGCGCTTCAGCTGCGACATGTGTTATTGCATCTGCTAGGAACGCAGGGGGAGGTGTGGCAAGAGGTCACCCGGTCTCATTTGGCCTACATTCCGCGGGATCTGGTGGACCTATGCCTGCTGGGTGACAAGGCAATGGGGCACATTCGACAAAAACACCCATGCTTCCCCTTGCACTCCATACTTTGAGACGAGCCACGGCCCCCGTGGCTCGCATTACCATCTGCTCCACACCCCTATATGTCGGTGTCAGGTTCGCCCCAAGGAAGGTCATCCTCTCTTCCTCAGTCACTCTTGGAATGTCCCAGTCTCCTGGAAGAGTGAAGTTCAGCGGAAGAATGGCCTTCAACAACTTGTAACCCGGTTGACCCGCGCTCAGTAGTATTTGCTGAAGATCTGCAGGTCCTCCTTTAAAGTGGCCAGTTGCTGGTCTGCCGGGGCTATTACTGCACCTGAGTCGTCTGCGAATGCCGTTGACTGCAACTCACGAGTCGGTCAGGCTTTCAAGCCGCATAAGCGATTGTCTTCCTTTAATATGGCATGCATTGATTCTATGTATATGACATGTAGAGCGGGGTAAAGAGGGCATCCTTGCCTCACTGATCTGGCGACACCGATCTTGTCCGATCTCACTCCACATCACTGTCATGGCTCCTGTCAGTATCTTTCGTACCCAACTGCGGAAGATAGTTCCTATCCCTTTTTGCACCATCCCTTGCATGAGGAACTCCCACTGAACTCGACCATAAGCTTTCTCTAGATCAATCGACACAAAGTCCTTTCCGCGACCCATGCATTGGTCTTCCTCTAGGATCTGCTGTGCCAGCAGAACGTTGGTGAGGATCTGGCGGCCTGAGACAAAGGCTGTCTGTGTGCAATCTATAAGCTGTGGTAGCACCTCCTTCAGGCGGGTTGCCAGCACCTCCGTTCAAAATGGAGATTGGTCACCAGTTTCGCACGTCCACCTTTGCTCTTTTCTTGTACAAAATGATAATGTATGCATCTGCAAAGCCTTGCAGAAGAGGGCCAGTCCTTAGCGCTTCGTTGAACGGCGCAGTCAGCAATATCGCAAAGAAATTGCGTAAGTCTTTGTACATCTGCATAGGAATACCGTCCAGTCCTGGTGCCTTAAGCTGGGGTAGTTCAGCTATTGCTCTCTCCACCTCCTCTGGACTAATGTCTCTTTCCAAGTTGCACGTGCTCTCCAAGTCGGATCGCTTCGGAACATGTCTCCAGACCTCGAACTCTGGTTTCCCGGCCATATCAGCCGGTGTCCATTCTTCCTCTTCCGCTAACAGCTGTCTATAGAAGTCTGTCACGCACTTCAAGATTCTGCGAGTCATGCGTTGTTCTCCCAGCCGTGCGTCAAGGGATGATTCATCATTGTCATAAGCGGTGCCGTCTTCCTCATACCCATTGAAGCGAAAAGTTTTGTGGCATTCGCTCACCTATTGCAATCCACGATTTCTTCGTTTGCCTCCTCCATTTGATCACTTCATCCTTCTGCCATTCCCTCCATCCCCTGGCCGCCTCCATCTGTTCCGCCCACCATTCTTCTTCTGTTTGTTACCCAGCAGGTCCCACATTCAGCTCTTTCAGTTTTGGACATATTCTTCCCCCGTTCTCTGGTGCGCAAGGTGGCCATACCAGGGTACTCCGCAGTTCCTGGTTCGCTGTCACCATTTGGCTCAGCAGACTCTCTTGTGGACAGTCGTCTATCCAATGCTCCCAGAAGCGGACGATTGTTGGTCTGAATTCACCACTCTTGAACACCCATGCTGGTCCGCTCTGGGGGGGTGGCCTATCTCCAGGGTTCCTACCGGGAAAGTTGCGAGCACCGCAGAGTGGCCTGACGTAGCCATGGGGCTTATCTGGACCCGTTCCACCGTGTTATTGAGGGCCACCGTCGCCCATATCATGTCCAGCCTGCTTCTGCCGGGATGCCGCACTGGCCCAGAAGGTAAAGACTCTATCCTGCTGGTGCAGTGTCGGAAAAGAATCTCTGCATCCCAAAGATGTCAGTGTCCACGAGGGCCAGCGAATCTGCACCTCCGTGCCTCAGTGTAGCAGAGTCCAGAATCGGATCTATCACAGAGTTGAAGTCTCCTACTATGATAATCTTCTCTCCGTCCGGCACCGATGTATGGAGGTGTTCCCACATCCCCTTCGACATACCCATTTCAGACGGGCCATACAGTGTGGCGACCCTCCATATCTCTTCCCCCCACTGCAGGACTACCCATGCCCATCTTCCCCTCAAATCATAGAACCAGTCCTTGACT